CACTAGAATAGGAATGACCCCGCTGCATGCAGGTCGAGAAAGAATCGCACTATGACTAACCAAAGAGCCAGGCAAACTGTTTGGTTTCCTCCATTGGGATATCAGACCAACTGCTCTACTCTGACTTTCACATCACTGCATCTACTAAGGAAATAGCTATATAATAATAATAATAATAATAATAATAATAATAATAATAATAATAATGATGATGATGATGATGATGATGATGATGATGATGATGATGATGATGATGATGATGATACTAATTTAATTAGCTAAGGGTCATTTGACTTTGCTGTTCACTCTAATCTGGCTACTATGGACCTTCTTCATTACTAACAATACTTTATTTGTTTAGAATGGGATCATATGGGTCACCATTCTGTCTCAAATCATGTGCTGCCCATTCTTAGGTTGTGTTTTCAGGTAGTCTTAAAAACCACACAGCATGGCATAACTTGATAACAGCTGGGAGGGCGGGGGGAGACTTTGGGGTTAAGATGGCAAGGAAAGTTGACTGGTGCAGGGAAAGCAGTATGGGTGTCACTGGGAATACAAATAAATTGTACACTGCTATCACAAGAGAATCTACATTGTGCTCCTCTTTATATTCTGTACCTGCAAGTCCACTTAACAAAGGGTATTCTGACTGGATTATAAAAAATATAGTTCATCAGTATCTAAAAGGACTCTACATTCTCTACTTCTGCTATACGTGATCAAAAGGGGGAATGAATGGATGTGCCATTGGTGGCACAGATGTAGAAAGAAAGGTAGTCACACTCTTGAGCCATCTAGATTTTTTTTCTGGTCAACTCAGTTACATCTTGAACAGCCCTCCTTTTCCAAAACAGAGTTGTATTCTGAATCTGAGCCTTAAATATTTATTCCCAGCATGTAACAACAGGGTTTTAAAGTTGTCTTTACTGATTTTAGTGGAAAACTGTTTTAAAGCCTTATTGTCATAGAGGAGCTGTGGGCCAGTGGCTGGTATTCATTAATTGCATTTTATAATATATAAAATGAGATTGCTAATTTATTAAATATCATTGGCCTGTATTAATATTAACCCCATATCTGTAGCCATCAACCTTAGGATATTTGTTTTCATCAGATTCATGACAATTGTGCCTACGTGAGAAAAGAAATACGAAGCAAATCAAAGGCAGCACTTCTGAGAACATCTGACTTTTCTCACAAGCGGCCTAATGACCTCCAGATGCCTCACCTGCAGTTCCATATGTTGTACAAAAATTATGAAAGATCTAATCTAAAACATCAGTAAAACAAGAAGTTGTTTTGAGATTAATCTCCGTGTATGGAAAATATTTCCTTTTGGTTTTTCTTTTCAGACAAAAGCAGCCATTTTACTGGGAATTTATATTTCTAATACAACTTGCCCTTCCCTGGATAATGGCATGGAGATTTCTTACACAGATCATCAATTCCTTAGAAAGGAAAGAAAAATGTCTATATTTATTAAAGGTAAATGTACAAACAATATCAGTTTCATTCTAGTTAATAATTAAATTATACATAGTATTGATTTGTCATAAGTAGCTGATTAATCAATCAATCAAATATTTCTTTATTGAAGAGTGTTTTAAATTATCAACTCAGAAAGTGACTCAGCTTTCTGATGAACAGTAACTTTAAACTTAATGGTAATCCTACACTACATGTTGCTCTCTGAAATATAAAAAGCTCTTTGATAAAGCCAGACACACTAAAATAACCGGATTAGCACACAACACAATCACTGTCCTGGATGTCAATGCAATTGCGAATAAATCCTTGCTAAAATTTCTGAAAATGAGATGCTAGAGATTCATAATGAATGGTTAACAAATGAACACACTTATTCTGAATTCTTCACTAGATGCAGAAGTTTGCTTTTATGTTTCTTAGTATCATTTTTCTATATGTATATAATACTGAAATAGCCTAAGGAGAGGCTAAGAATACTAACTAAGAAAAAAATGTCTGAAAAAATCTTTATATTTTAAAGTTAGGCTATACTATAACCCTAATTCTGTAAATCAAAGTATCTTATCTATCCAGAAAACCCCCAAATGGTCAATGTACTATTATCCACAGCTATAATTTTCAGCTAAGCTAAATAGTGCAAATACAGACTCCATTTTGCATATCAGAGGGATATCATTTTCAATAAATCCTACTTAAAGAGATGTTTTCTCACCTTGAAAAAATATGCCTATTAAAATTACTCTAAGTTCCTGGAAATCCTATGTACTGTATCTGTACATAAGCTGTAATATATCAGCTTTGCTATTAAAATAAATACACACACACACACAATTTTCTGGATTGGAACCTTTTTAACCCCAACTGCACCATAGGCTGTAACTTAAAACTTTTCATTATACAATAATTTTAAACACAGCACTCCCATTTTGTCTTTTCCCCCATTCCTCTCCACAATCCCTTCTCTTCCAATCTGCTGCAATATCTCTTGCGATTTGTATTGCAATGTCCATAGATTGATCCTTCTACCAGCTATTACTACTGTCACCAATATCTGTCAGAAGTGTTTTGCTCTCTCAACTGCTACCAGTGCAGCCACCAACTGTGGTTCTTGACTGCAAAACTGTGTGAGATATGTATAAGACATAATAAATTCAGTAATCAGACAAAACACAGTTCACATTATTCTCAGCAAAAAATGAGATTCACTTAAATGCTATTGTTAAGGCAGGGTTCATTTGGCTTAGTAACTTATAAGAAGTTTGGGAGAGAGGAAGGGAGGGAAGAAGGAAGAAAGGAAGGAAGGAGGGAAGGAAGGAAGAAAATTTTCAAGTTCCATTAATGTTTTTAACAGCGAGAGTACTCTGAGCATTATGGCTGGGTTTAAGGTATAGTCCATTAATCTAAAAAATTATATTCTAAACTCAACCTGTACATAAAATTCCTATCTATAGACTTAGTAGATTTCCCATGTTTTATTTATGGAGGCCTAGGCCAGAAAAATAGCAGTCAACAGTGGTGATCAAAATAATGATAGGAATAAAGCCTGAAATGGTTCTTGTAAGCATAATATATACAAGGATGCTCATTACTATTTACTAGCATGCAGAATTCCTTGGAGTATTATCTTTTATATGAAGTTTGATGATCAATTTTAAATGCTGTCCAATAAAAAGGAAAACAGTCTACAAGAAAATGGATAATAAATATCTTGGTTTAACATAAAAATAGATCTATAACTCTATAGACAGATAGACAGAGACAGACAGACAGACAGACAGAGACAGACAGACAGACATATTCTAGCAGGGCACTATTTAGGCTTACCACTACTTTTAGGAAAGCGCCACAATTCGCCTTAAAGCCTTGATTTTGTTGATTTTTGTTGAAATGGTAGTAAAAAGGAAGTCTTGAAGATCATGATGAATGAATCAATAATCTTAAATCCCATTATTTTAATACACATATATCGCTGATTAAGCAATTTATAAGGGAGACATATTACAAAAATTGAAAGGAATTAGAGAGATATTTAGCACTACTGTATTATCAACATGGCGTACTGTTATACAGAGCTCTATAGAACTCTCTAAAATGGCATGCAACAAAGCCTGACTTTGGAAAGATTAATGAATAGAATGAGTTATAAGTTTCCATGGTTTCATTCATATAATTATGACCTTGCATGACTACCCATCAGAAGTACTAAAATTCATGCAGATGCTTACCAAAAATGAAGTTTCAACTAAGAGAGACTATGCAAATAGGGATTTCCCCTTGTATACCATTTTTGCTGATATACAAAGTGTGTGATATATATCACACAAATTATGTATACTTTGTGAAAAATCAACAAATAAAATCAGATGTAATAGAAGTAATATTGCATAAATGATAAACTAAATTCACTTCAAGTTTCTCACTTCAAGTTTTGTAATTAATAATCAGGAACTGAACCAAATTAATTATATTACTTAATGACGGGTATGTATTGGTTGCACAGATGGTTTTTTTCCATTTTAGCCTAAGGGTTCAATAGTTATTATAATGCAATCTTATCTAATTTCACTATCACAACAATATGGATTAAAGTATTGTGTCCCATTTTCAAAGTCATATAATATAATATATTATATTATAACTATATAATATACTTGCAATCAATAAACTGATGAGATTTTATTTACAACTAAATGTCCTATGCATATTTACTCAGAAACATATATACTTTTCAATTTAGCTTATTCCCCACAAAGTGTAACAAGGTATCAGGTTTAACCTATTTCCTTAATCTATCCTAGTACTTGTAATTATCCCTCCCCACATCATAGTAGTAAGACACAAAGGACAAAAACAGGATCAATATTAGTTCTCCTAACCCTAACCCTTTCTTACACTGGTGTAAACATCACCTATGCCATTTTATATCTGCCGATATTCCCATAACATTCTCTTCAGATTATCACATTCATGTTCATGGTGTCATTGTAGTTACTTATAATTTGTAGTAAAGTTTTTAAAATACTATGTCCCCATTTATACCTTTAGTTGCAAATTGTTCAGAATAGTTTTATTGTTTTAAAATTGTTTTATAGTTATTGGTTTATTATTGTTGTGTGCTCCCCAATGCTGTTTAAGATGGGCAGTCATATAAATCTTTTAAATAAATAAATTGGATTAGTATGATGGACATAGCATAAAAATACTGCTTTTTAAAATTAATTCCAATAACTAGAGATTTCTAATCCAAACCAAGCAGACTTTGGGGTAAATTTCTTACAGGAAAACACATTTATGAAAACAATTCTTGGTAATTTGCTTTATTAAAAGTTCCTAAATTCTATAGATAAAATGGGACAATTTATTTTCAAAAGGATTTCCATTATTCCTTCCTTTCTGATTCACAACTATGTATTTTCATTTGACACTTAGCAAGTATGAACCCAAAGCAAAAGTAATGAATATCTTTGGTCACAATGCAATATTCTAATACAGTACATTCTGTCTAATAAATTAGTCCAGCCGCTAGGAAAGTTAAATGCACAGTCATTAAAATCTCAATACCATCTTTTCTGCCAAAGATAGACAAGAAGATCTCTCACTGGCAACCCAGCAACCAAAGAACCATGAAAGTTAAAGGTGGTGAATATTTTTTTCCACCAGTTTCCTGTTCCTCTGTTTGGCAGAGCATCTTTGTTGGCTGCAAGTATTTCTTTGTAATATATTTGCCAACAGTTTACTCACATCTTCACTCAGATAAAGCCGGAGTTTTAAACTATGCCACCACCAAATAATATTTAGCTGAGACTTGAAACTAGGCATCGACCAGAGTAAACACCAACTGCTTTTATAAACTACTCACCCAACTGCATTGCAAACATGCAAGAAAAAGCACACTTGGGTCCTTCTAACTATTACTTTAAATCCATCAGGTGAACTCATATGGTTGTTAAAAAAAAAAACCACAAAAGAAACTTCCCCGTGATCATCCAGCTGTCAGTTTTCAAAGATTGGACTAAGTCTGTTACATCGGAACTGGGCTCTTTTCTTTTTAATCTCTTCTTCCTAAAGTTAGCTTTTTGGGCCCTACTTTTTTCTCCGCACAGGAGAGTCACCCGCTCTGTCCTAACGACACAGTAAACCACAAACGACCGATCCGCATTTAGCCAAAAGAAAGTCAAATCACTAAGAAGGAAAAAAAGGAGGAGAAGAGGCGATAGGGCACCAAATCCTTTGGCTGGAATATACCGCGCAAGGGAAACGTAAGACAAAACCCAAACGCGTTCGGTTGTCCAGAGGCTGACAAGAGAACCTCCGTTCGCAAGGCTTGAAGGAAAAGAAGGGAATGGAAGAAGAAGAAAGAAGGAGGGAAGCAAAGCGTGATTCCTTTCAGTCAGGACAAGCGCGCCGAGTCAGAAACGTACATGTTGGCATTACTTGGTTTCAGTCAGCATCCTCTGGGGCGAGATTCTTCTTTTTCCTCCCTTCTTTTGGTCCTCGTCTAGCGCCGGGCTGGTAGGAAAGTTCACGAGGTAAGCTCCATCACCCTCGTCCCACCAACCTTCGTTTCGACGGGCAAATAAATAAATAAATAAATCTGGGTCCCGACGAAGGCGAGGGGAGGGGGAGAGAAAGAAAAAGGGAAATCAGGCGCTGGGTCTCTTTGCTCCTCCCTCTCCGAAACCTCTTCAAAGCTTTTCGAGACCAAATCGGGTAGGCGGTAAACGGGGGCCACCCGGAGCGATTTCGCCCGCCGCTGCGCCTTTCTGGCAGAGAAGAAGCAACCTCCAAAGGGGTTTTTGCGACTCAGCCCCTCGTTCCCGCCCACTTGGGCGCTTCCCGCGAAAGTTAGGGGAAGCGAAAACACACACCCGCACACAAAAGCCTGCGCTGCTTGGGGCTTCCACGTGGCCCCGCGCCCGGAGAGAGTCTCCCGCGCGGCTCCAAGCTGGTTTCTGCGGGGGCCGGCTTCCAACTCCGAGCCCCACCCCAGAGTGACGGCGGGGACGGGAAAGCATCCAAAAGTTTTCGAGCGGCGAGGGCTGCCCTACTCACGCGAATGATTCACGTCGTCCGTGCCCGAAAGCAGTCACTAATTCCAATTAATCTCTGGTCCTCATACTCGCGAACACGCCAATGATGTTTGCTAAATGAAGAATAGAACAAAACAGAACAGAATAGCTTTATGGTCACTATGAATGTACACTAATCGGCAGACATTAAAATGAAATTTCGCTGCATACAGCTCTCACCACCTCCAATATACACTACATGAGCATGAAAAAAGATAGAAAAGTATGTGTACACCCACATATTATACGGCACAGAGAAACAACAGTGTAGTCAGGATGTATTCATGTACATGGTGAGAGCAGTGATGTATTAACCACTAAAACCAAGGACGTGCTTAGGGCACCGTGCCCAAGGGGGCACCCCGAAGTTGAGAAAGAAAAAAAAAACCAATGAAGATTTTTACAGTATGTACAAAGGAGGAGGGCACCAAGATTTGTCAGTGCTTAGGGCCCCAGTGAGCCTTAATCTGCCACTGGGTGAGAGAAACAAATCTTGCAAGTTTACCAGACGGATGGCATAGGGAACAATTACAGAATTGGATAGTCCTACTAGAAATACTTGGGAAATCTCATCCCAGAGGGGAAAAACAGAAACAGACAGATACCTTCACTAGGTGGCTTTCGCTTGGGGCAATTCACAGTACACCCTCTTTGCTCTCTTGCAAATACAGTAGAGAGTGAGTTGCAGTTAACAGTAGTGTCAGCTAGCCTCGCATTGTTGGTTACCCGAAGTCGAAGAACTCGAGATCTGGAGGGCATCAGGTTGGGTAAAGCATCATAAGGCCTCATTCTCCCTTCATACCACCACCACCGCCTCTGGACCTTGTACTTGTAAAGCTTCAAGAAGAAATAAAGCGAGTGAGCTGTTCTCACTGTGCAAAGCAGGCATAATCAAAACATTACTCATGGAATATTTTTGCACCTAAACTATGATACAAACATGTCCTGGCAATATCTTTTTCATTCATGCTCAATGATACTCACCCACCTATGAATAAGACAGGATTAAGTCATCCTTAGCTGTACTTGTGTTAAAGTGGCACTTCCCCTTTCATTCTGCTCTGATTCCAGGACAGCCTCAGTGTTTTAAAATTTCTCTAGGCTTTATTAATCATTACCTTGGACAGAAATAAGATTGCAGCAATTTAAAGGGAGGAAGGCAATAGAAGGATCAGGAGTTGCATTAATAGGAGTTGCATTAACAATTAATACAATCAAGATCAAGTGAGGTAATACCACTCTGTAAAGCCTTAGTAAGAGCATACCTAGATTTCTGCATCCAGTTTTGGTCACCACTATAAAAAAATATGTTGAGACTCTAGAAAGAGTGCATAGAAGAGCAACCAAGATGATTAGGTGACTGGAGGCTAAAACATACAATGAACGGTTGCAAGAACTAGGCATGGCTAATCTAGTGAAGAGAAGGACCAGGGGAGATATGATAGCAGTCTTCAAATATTTGGGGGGCTGCCACAGAGAGGAGTAGGGTGTCAAGCTATTTTCCAAAGCACTTGGAGGCCAGACAAAGAATAATGTATGGAACTTGATCAAGGAGAGATTCAACCTAGAAATAAGGAGAAAGTCAGTGAAAACAATCAACCAATGGAACAGCTTGCCTTTGGAAGTTGTGGGAGCTTCATCACCAGAGGCTTTCAAGAAGAGACTGAACTGACATTTGTCAGAAATGTTGTAGGGTATATATATACTGTATATTTGAAGGGTGGATAGGGAGCACTTCAACTCATATAATAAATCTGAAAAGATTCCATACAAGGGTGAGGGATTAAAATATCAAGACCATACCCCAAGATGTGACTGAGGACAAGGCCCTTTTGTGTTCATGCCATCTTGACTTTTTTGACCCCTAGGAAACCACTGATATCCACTGAAGATCACAGAACAACAGATTTGCCTCATTTGATATGAAAAATCTGTTCTGTAACATACTATTCAGATATGTGGAAAAGTAAGCATACCCCAGAGTGGCGCATGTGCGAGACCTGAATGGCTGCCTGGCTTTCTCGCTCTGTAGAAAGCCGGATGAAAAAAGACCTCAGAGAG